AAATACAACGCGAATTTGCGATAATGGAGATCGCGTTGCGAATTAGCGATCGCATTGCGATTTTGTTGGTCATTTTGGCAAATCGAAAAAGTTGGTTAAAATCGTATATTATATGGGATTTTTGGTCACTGAGGTTATTTTCTCTTAAAAAAAATCATATAAACAAAGGACTAATTATATTTGTAGCCCTCAAACCTTTAAAAAAATCATTTTAAACTTTTTTCCTGTCAAACTGAACTAATTGAAAAAAATAACACATTTATTAAGTTGACATTAATTATTTTAACTTTTAGAGTCGTGTGTGATGTATCACGTCACTTAAGTCTATACTTCAACCCCATCATTCTCAAACAGTAAGGAAAAAATCGTAAAGGCCTTGAGGATATAATGTTTTGACTGACAACATTAGACATAACACCTTGGGATATAAAGATCAAGGGATTAGTGAAAATCATTAAAATATTTAGCAGTTTTCCTTTTGTAGATCTTTATATCCTCAAGGTGTTATGCCTAATGTTGTCAGTCAAAACATTGATATAGATTTCTAAGCTCCCTTCATTAATTTTACCAGCAAAATCAATTAACTTCTCTGTCATCTTTTCCATGTCCCCTTTAGCTCCTCCTATCCCATTACATTGATCTGCTTAAGCTTATACTGGTGCCCTCGACTAAACTTCTCTCCACATTTAAAAGAAAGATTGTTAGCCCTTCTAAAATCTGAAGAGTTTGTATATTGGTGGCACTTTGATGAAGAGAGTTTATTCTGTTGTTTGAGACAATATAAGATTAGGATTCTGGTTGTACTCGTTAAAAGCTCAGGTAATTGACCTATCTTCTATTTTTAGTTTCAAGGATACCTCAATAAGTTTAGCTTGTTTATAAGTTTTATCTAGTGATTTAGGGTATAATTCATTTTGAGCTTACGGTTTAAAAAGCCCTCCAAATTCTTTTAAAAAGAACCACTCAAGTCATTATTTTTATTCACTCAATCAAATATTTTTATGGATAAATAAAAGAATATTATTACCCAAAAGGGAGCAATAAACTGCTACAGTACAAGTATCAAAACAGCTACAGTACATGCATCAAAATAGCTACAGTACAGTCATCAAAGCAACCAACGTGGAGCATGAACAACCAATATTAAGGTTAGTCAATACCCCATTGAATACAAAGAGAGTTATTAACTCTATCTATTCTATTGATTATCCTATCTCTAAGTTGAATTCTAACAAACTCCTTAATAGCCTTAAGAATTTCATCACCTGTTCTTGAGTTCCTTCGGAATAGCCTCTTGTTTCTTTCTTTGCAAAGAGAATAAATAAATACAGTCCATGCTAGCTTCAAAATATTAACTAGGAGGGAGTTACCTGTCCAAGTACCACATGCCCAAGACATTAATTGATCCCAAGACAATGAAGATCTCCGCAAGCCGGTTAGTAGTAAGATTTCCTTCCAGAGATAGCTTGCTAGTGGGCCTTCCATGAAAATGTGATCTCTCATTTCCTGGAACGCGTTATAAAACACATAAACCATCAGTAACAATACCCATATGTTGTAGTCTAACTTTAGTAGGAATCTATCCAAAATAGTCATCCAAGCGATCATGCTATGTTTAGGAATGTGAAAGGGAAACCATATCAGATTATGCCAGTGAACTTTGTCTCTCTTAACCCTAGTCTCTTCCCAAATTGCACGAATTGATGTTGCTCCGGTTGAAAAGACAACGTTGGCTTCTCTCCTTAGTTTTAGTAAATTTCTGAAGCTCCAGCTGGTATTAGTACCGCTATCGATGTTCCAGAAGTCTTTATCGTTAAGGACATAGTTGTTTAGCCATTCAACCCACAATGAGCCTTCACCTGCTAGGATACTTCGAATAAGCTGGATCATACACGCCTTATTCCACGTTTTTAAGTCCTTTAAACCTATTCCTCCTTCAAGTTTCGAGTGGCAGATCGTTCCCCAGCTTACTCTAGCTCCAGTAGCTACTTTATCTGAACCTTTCTAGAAAAATCGAGAACAGAGTTGCTCAATCTTTTTAATAATAGATTGAGGAAGAAAAAGTTGTCTACACCAGTAGTTAGCAACACTGAACAAGACCGCTCTTATAAGTTTGAGTCTTACTGCATAAGACAAGAGTTTACCTGACCAGTGGTAAAGCATGGACTTGATATTATCAATGAGAACGACACAATCCTTTTCAGAGAGTTTCCTAGTGACTAAAGGGTCTCCGAGATATCTCACAGGCATGCATCCTTGCTTGAACCCCGTAGTTTTGTTAATGGACTCCAGGATATTAGTAGATATACCGGCTGCAAAGAACTCGCATTTGGCTGCATTAAGCTTTAGGCCCGACATTTCATAGAATTGTTTAAAACAGTAGTGACTCCAACAACTGATTCCAAATTTCCTTTGCAAAAGATTAGAAGATCATCCGCAAACATTAAGTGAGTGAGCCCTATCTTCTTACATTTTAGGTGGAAGCCAAACATACCTCTCGCAGCAGCCAAATTAAGAATTTTAGACAACACATTCATTGCGAGGGCGAATAAGAAAGGGGATAGTGGTCACATTGCCTTATTCCTCTTTCACCCTTGAAATATCCAATCAAGCTTCCGTTGAAGGAGATGGAATATCTTGCATTTGAGAAACAAGCTTCAATCCAATCAATGAAGATTTTTGGTAGATGTATAGCATTTAGGACTGATGAAATGAAGCCTCAGTGAAGGGTGTCAAAGGCCTTTTGAAGGTCAATCTTCAAAGAACATCTTGGGGAAATTGATTTCCTTCCATAGTCTTTCACCATTTCTTGAGCAAAGAGAGTATTGTCGACGATACTTCTACCTTTTACAAAGGCAGTTTGATTTGGAGTAATCATCCCTGGGAGTAAATTGGTCAGTCTTTTTACTAAAATCTTAGTAATTGTCTTATAGACAACAGAGCAACAAGAAATTGGTCGGAAGTCTTTAACCTTGCTTGGATTTGGCACTTTAGGCACCAATGCGATTGTGGTCGCATTGAAAGCTGGAAGCAAGTATGTTTGTTGAAAGAAGTATTTTATTGTAGTTACCATATCGTCTCCAACCACATCCCATGATTTTTTGAAAAAGAAAGGTGTGAATCCATCCGGGCCAGGAGCTTTGTCGTTGCCTTAATTGAAAACGGCTTCCTTTATCTCCCCTCTTGATACTTCCTTGATTAGATCAGATGAAGCTTTAGGAGGACACGTAAATTGCAGCAGGCTTTTAAGAAGAGTGGGGTTGCACTCGGTTACGTTGGGATCTGAAGTACCTATCAGATTGGAGAAGAAAGTAGTCACATCAGAGACCATCATGTCAAAGGATTCAAGTCTTCTTCCTTGCTCATCAACAAGCACCCTGATTGTGTCGCGCTTTTGTTTAACTGCCACAGCCGAATGAAATTTTTTGCATTATCACCCTCCTTTATCCATTGAGTTTTAGCCTTTTGCTTTAAGAACATAAGCTCAGCCTCTTCTAGAGTTTTTAACTCTTTTTGTAAGATAAGCTCTTTCTCGCAATTGTTTCACCTCTGAGAGTAGAAAGTTGGTGTTGTTCCAACTCCTTCCTCTTATGCTTAACTCAAATTGTTATGTCACTGTAGCACTCATTATTGAGTTTCCTTAAGCAAACTTTGAGGCGTTTGAGTTTGTGAAAGAGAACATGCATAGGGTTGCCCTGAATAGTCGGTTGCCAAGAATGCCGTACCTCTTCCAAATAATTGGAGTGGAGAGCCCAAAAATTGAAGAATTTGAATGGCTTCGGTTTATTTGCTTGAATTCTTTGTTGAGGCAAACTAAGGCCATACAATGATCTGAAGGACCTGGAACGAGAAATTCAACAAATGAGTTTGGAAATTTTTTCACCCATGTAGTATTGATTAGAACCCTATCAAGCTTCCTCGCAAGGAAAGAGGCTTGTTGTTTGTTGCTCCAAGTGAACAGTGGTCCGAAAAATGGGTGATCCTGAAGTGCTAAGTCTTGAGTGCATTCTTTGAATCCCTTCATTTCAGGAGAAATTATTGGGCCGAGGAGATCATGCTCTGAACTTTCATTAGGGTGCAATATAATATTGTAGTCTCCTCCCAAAATCCAAGATAAATGGCCATAGCTCCTTTCAAGTTCTCGCAGATGACGCCATAATGTAAAAATACTTTAGTTAATTCATTTGACCAACAATAATAATTAAATTTAAAATAATATTAACATTCTTTTTAGTGTAATATTATCAAAATTACATTTCAAGACGATAAAAATCTTATCATCTTTGTGAAGTCAATGATTCAAGAATTATTCGAATTTTTAAAAATACTATTTGTGGATCCTCGTAGCTCTATATTTTCTCGATTGGGTTTACGTTTGAAGTCGCTCTTTAGTTGACGGGGACATGAAGTATGGTCCATGCTAAGCTCTGCTGAAATAAATAGACGGTACTTTAATCATTGCCTCAAAATATAACATCATTCTTTTGTTTCCATGTGTGCCGCCTGACAAATAAAGCCAAGAGAAAATTCCAAACAACACCACAAGTCATGATAATAAGAATATAGCTTAATTTAGGGTCGGGTTGTTTCATTCATGATAATAAGATTATAGCTTAATTTAGAGTCGGTTTGTTTCATTCATGATAATAAGAATAGGTTTGCTTCATTGTAATCGATTTTTCAAATGTAAAAAATGATTTACATGACATCATTCAACTCCACAATGATTTCTAGAAATTATTTTATATGAAATATAATTCATTTTCATTTAAACAAATAAACTCTTATTAGTGTACCAAAATTTTAAGGTTTTATTAGTAAATTAGTCATACTTTGATTTACTCATCATTTTTTTTAAGTGAACATGATATAATAAAGATACGTCACATTTTATGTCCTTATTATAAGTATTGATAAACACGAACTAAATTGATAATTTTAAATATTGTTGTTGACAAAAAGTATTTTTTTAAAAATAATCTATCAACCAACGAGAATTCGAACCTAAGAAACATGCAACTTCATGAACTCTTCTAACTACTATGGCTTTCATTTTCAAAATTGGGATCCTTAAAACATCTCGTCACTAAACGAGAATTCAACCGATCTTTCAGACGATTTAACTTTTAATCGAGTACCTTCAAGAATATTAATATAACCTTAGTGAGACCGTATATCCTGAAGATAGCGACTGACTTGCTGTGCACCGACGAACAAGGCATCTGCAACCACAAATACTTCAACCTGCGACAAAATCAACATGGTTACGTTAACAAGTAACCATACTCGAGCTCATTTCGCTGGAGTGAGGAAGATAATAATTACCAGGCGGGCGGAGTAGAGTACACGGTAACCCCAACCCTCTCTGGCAACTTGAGTTCTCTGTTGATCTGTCCAACTGAGAGTTAAAAGGAATTAGGAAATTAAAAAAAAGCAGTTCTGCATGATAACGATCAACTATAAGTTGCATAATATCTGATTTTGAATTTTGAAGTTTGAAGTTCAACTTGCACTTGCTACTCCTTATCACATTTATAAAAGAATATTTCTTTTTTATTATTATTTATTTATTTATTTATTTATTTATTTATCTACACCCTATAATGTTCAATTTATGAACAGATAGGTACTTGAGGAAGTACAAGGATATAGTTTGAGCTATAATTAAAAAAAATGGTTTCAATCTATGTTACTCTGACTCTTCATTTCACAAGTACCTGTGTTTGGTCCAACACATATTTGGAAAAAAGTCTTAGGGCGCGATCCATATATGAAACTCGTGCCGGGTCCGAGTAACTTAGGTTTTAATATCCTTAGAACCAGTTTTGGAACCAAGTGCAGGCGGGTTAAATTTCTCATATTTATTTTGGGGACAAAAATTATGTGAAAATTTCCAAGCAGCATGTCAAACAAACAAGGAGAAGAGTAAGAGATATATTATATACCCGAGAAACTCTGAAAGACCGCCAATTCCTTCAAACTTCAACGGCTGAGAACCTTCTGCGGCAAGATCCTAAAGAAAACAAGTTGATATTTGTGAAATTAATGGAATTTCTTCAGGTACAATCAAAGATAAAAGTAATTAGTGTCGGCACAAAAATGAGAAATATAAAGACTAAAAGGAAACTCTATTGAGCATTGCCTCTTCTTCAGCAGCCTCTAGACCCCCTTGAACCCAGAAAAGATTTTTGTAGCCAGCATTACACAGTAGCTCACAAGCCGCCAGAGATCTGGCAGAATAGTGTCGATCAGTTAAGCAAAAGAATCAATACTGTGTTTAGCAGCTAAAGGACACTCGAAGATATATATTTTCACTTTCAGTCACAATGGTAGCGCTAGCCTCTTTTCCACCCCAAATCAAACTAGGAAGTGGTATTTTCAAACAAATCCATAGACATGAACTTCAACTCTGGAAAACAACAATAGTGTGGACTACAAATTCAGGACAGACTTATCTAATTTGCATGTGCTCCTACATTGCATAACAAGAATATCTTATACAAATTCCATCTATTTTTCTCCATTTTCTTTTTCGTTTTTCTTTCTCGATCTCAGCAACTGGACTGCTCAAGATACAATGCAGAATTTTAACCCCAGATTTATCTTAGAAAAACATTTGCAGTCCAGGCAGTCTTTATTACAGCAAGAAATGGAACTGATTGTTTGAAACTATCATCTAAATCCTTTAAATTCCAAAGCATTCATTGTTTCAAGTTCATTCTTTTGAGAGAATTATCGCATAAAGATTGAAAATGCAACTACTGCCTTTATAAGAACTAGAACAACAGTTATAATTATGGTTATATCCCTCAATTTGGGGCCAAATGCTAGGCCTACAAAGGTGCTTCAACATTTTGCGGTCTAAATGATATAAAACATTTCCAGCCGACATCAAATTAAAAGTGAATCCATTTCTAAATGAAACAAAAATAAATACTGAAGCGGTAGCACTCTCCTCTGTCACTTGAAAAAATCTAAAGAAAAAAATCACCTCTGCATGCAACAATAAGCTCGACATCTTTAGGGCATTTCTCCTCAACTTTTGATAAGAATCGACTGTCAAAGAAAGCAATCAGAGAATAAGTACAAAATTTATTCTACATATATGCATATGTAAGAGCAGACATGCACAAGCACACGTGTGTCCAGAGGCACATGCACAAAACAGAGAAGCAAAGGTAACTTATAAAGCACCTGTTATAAGACACCGTAGGCACGCCACTCCACCAGCCCCCTATAGAAAACATAACACAGTATTAATATGCGTCCCAACAACAGATTAAAGGGGTTTTATTGGGTAGTCCCATGCAATTAATATGATCTTCCAAGAGGTCGGAATATAGAAAGGAAACAAGAGGTGCCCATCACAAAATTGGAGACTTTCCTTGAGACAGTTCCAACATCAAATTTATTATCAACTTCAAAGATCGGTACCCAGGTGGAGCCCTTAACCCATGCCTTCAAAACAGAGCAACCAAATATGAATATGTTCCAACCACCAATAAAAATGACATCAACCTTAAATATTCTATGCAACATACAGTTCCCTAAATAAGAAAGGGAGAAAATGAAAAGAGGAAGAATTCATTTACTTGCTTCTAAACACCAATTGCTTAACAGTTTCTCAACAAGAAGAAATAACTTAAGCAAATATGCCCATATAATGCTTTAAACATGATTTTTTAAAGGAAACACTGAACATGGATGAAAAAATATTCATAATCTATGATACAACGAATGATAAGACTAGACCAGCTTCAATGCAGTAGACAAGGGAGACAAAAAGTAGTTATAACAATCATGTGCGTAGTATTGAAGTTAAAAAGCACTGATTATGAAAGACATAGCACTATCGTTTAAGAACCTTCTCACGCTCACTAGACGGGTGAACATCGAGTAAAGGATTGTTTGAGAGTTGAATTGCATAACCTGCCTCCTTAGGTGTAAGAATCATTACTTTTCTTTCCCTAATCTGTAAACACACAGTACAGCAAAAACTTACTACTGATAAAGCAGGAAGCCTCCACATGAAAGTTCAATTTAATAGATTTAGCAACATCATGAGAATCATCCTCATTATCCATGTACAAGTAAAAAAAAAACTTTTCTTTATCAAAGATGACACTGGAAATTCAAGTAAAATCAGATTAAAGAAGAGGGAAACGATAATTTAAAGTTGGGGAATAAAGAAAATATAATATATACTATAGCATCCCATCTCTTCTTTGAAGCAGCCATATCTCTCATTTGTTTCAACTCAAAATCTTCTTCACCAGCTTGCATTCGAATAACCGCACATTGCTAAATCCACAAGAAAACAAAAGTAAAAAACCAATGGAGAAGAGAAAAAAAATAAAGTTGAGAAACCAAAACCCATGAATTAAAAGGCTGGAAAAAGTGGAATGAGAATCATACGAAACGATGAGGAGCAACAGTGCATGGATGTCTGGAAGTTGATATACTTGGAAGTGAAGAGATCAAAGAAGGAGCTTTTTGGCTATGAAGGCGGGAAATGGGTAAAGAATTGAGAGAAGGAAGCGCCAAAGAAGCCATTGTTATGATTGTTTCGAGAATTTTTTCCTTCAAAATAATTTTGATCATTTTATTTATCAGTTGGATTTTGCTTTGTCTTTTCTGCGTTGGGTTCCCGGAGGATCCTATCTGAAAATCCAATTATCCAATTCTAAACGCCTTCATGCACTCAACTAACGACGTCGTTTCTTTTGTTTTCACCTTTTTGTTTGTAAGTTTATAAACTTTTTTAAAGTGTTTTTTCTTTAAAAAATTATTTTTTTAAAAAAATTATTTTTTTCTCTAAAAGAAAAAGAATCTATCAAAGATAAAAATAATACTAATTAATATGTTCTCAAATAGTTCGTAGTTGTACGAATGACTTGTTTGACTATTTTAATATTTTCAAATAAATCATACAAATAAATGATTTTAATGGTTAATGGATGATTGTTATTCGTAGAGATTTTAAGTTCAAGTATGCAGTGTACAAAATTATTTAAATTTTCATTGTCAAATAGTCGAGACTTTCAAATTGATACTAACTTATAATCACCTCTTATTTTTTAATTAAATTAAAATTTTTATTCAGATAATTATGATATCTTATATATAAAATAAGAAATAAATATAGTAAAAAATGATCTTAAAAGATTAAAATAATATGCAGTTTAAAAAATAATATTTAATACTACATAAATACATATTCTACAGTCAACATTTGATCAAAAATATAATTTTAATGATATTATTCTTCATTTTCTAAAAATATCATGGTTTGAGAATTCAAACCAAATCTAGTGAAACAATTGCAGTTAAAATAAGGAACGGTAAGAAAAGAATGGCAGTAACTGAAAATAACGGTGGGTAAGGCGGTTATCAGACAAAGATACGAAAGCAGTTGAAAATGTGGTGGAAAGTCAAAAGGTTGAAGGTGGGAAGTGGATTACGGGTGTCACGTATCTAAAAATGTTATCGAAACGAAACTTCCAAGAAACTGTCTTCTTTCACTGTTACCGCTCGCAACAAATGGTCTTCTCCGCCCACTGACTTAACCCTTCATCTTCTCTTTCTTCTCAATAATGCTTCACAATCCCCACTTTTCTTTTGCTTAAAAGGTGAACAAATAATATGCCTTTACCTTTCTTCTTCATTTCATTATTATTATATTTAATTTACAATTGTTCTTGTTGACTTTAGAATCTGCATTAGACTCTGGGTTTTCTTCTGTTTTGTTCGGTGTATCTCTGAAATTTTATGAGTTTTCATGAATGGGTGTGGCAGCTAGGACTGTTTATACATTTCTGGTTTGTATTGTCTTATTTTGGGGAGAAATTATAAGTTTGAAAGCAATCTCTTCGTTGCAGCTTAATATATTGGGTGCAAACTGTTTATTCAGTGTTTCTGGCTGCTGCATTTGCATCAGAGTTGAGGCTTGAACATAGATTTCTGTTCTTACTGGCATTCTCGTCGTTGATTAATTGCTACTTGTGATCTCAACTTGGGTTCTTTGTTACATTCATGTTTGCATATATTGAATCGTTCAGAATATTTGTGAATTATAGAGCTGATGGGTGGCATAACATCGAAACGATCGACCACAGCACAGTCCTCTTCTGTAGCGTCTAATTCATATTCACGGGATCCTCATAGTGCACAGCCATCATATGCTTCCTCCGGCCTAGACTATGTTTCGGAGCCGTATTATGCCCCTCCACCTCAAAGCTATGGTGGTCATACCCCTGAATCGAAGAGGAGGCTGGAGAGAAAATATTCGAAGATAGATGATAACTACAATAGCTTGGAGCAGGTATGTTGTACTTGTAGTTCCCAGTGGTTTAAATACAAGAAATGTTTAGTAAATTTTCGAATGATGAGCATGCTCCTCACCGGCATCTATTTCGAGAAACCGTTTTTGTTATTTATAGGATGTTGTACCTATATATACATAACTCTGTAAGTTTCACCTTAGCTATAGAAAATTTCAGAATGCTGTTCATGCTCCTCACTGGCTTTGTTATGCTATTTGGCTAGCCAACTGAATCTGTGTTTTCTTTATGGTAAGAAAAACTTGTTATACTCTTCTTTTTTTCGCAGGTCACCGATGCCCTGGCCCGTGCTGGCTTGGAGTCTTCTAATCTTATTGTTGGCATCGATTTCACGAAGAGCAATGAGTGGACAGGTCCAGCCCTCTCTCAATGCATTTAAATTTTGTATATGGATATATATATATATATATATATATATATATATATATATATATATATATATATATTATGACACAATACTTTTCACTGTGCTTTCAAATAGGTGCAAGATCTTTCCACCGAAGAAGTCTACACCACATTGGAGACGAGCAAAATCCATATGAACAAGCAATATCTATCATTGGAAAAACATTGTCTTCCTTCGATGAGGATAATTTAATTCCTTGCTTTGGATTCGGAGATGGTATTCATTTTTGGAAGATTTTTCTGTTGGATCTCTTAATGTTAATCTTCTTTGTAATTGAGATGATACGGGATTCTTTGATCTGTCAGCATCAACACATGATCAAGAAGTATTTAGCTTCTATCCAGATGAGACGTTTTGCAACGGATTCGAAGAAGTGCTGAGACGATATCGGGAATTAGTGCCTAATCTGAGACTAGCAGGTTATAATTCATTTCACTTCTTCCTTTTCTTCATTCTGTTGTTAGTCCTGTGTTTTTCTTGTTTTTTGGAATAATTTCGTTCCCTTCTACCCATACCCACATTCATTCTCTTTGATAGGACCAACATCGTTCGCTCCTATCATTGAAATGGCAATCACCATTGTTGAGCAAAGTGGCGGGCAGTACCATGTGTTACTGATAATAGCCGATGGGCAGGTAACTTATCTGCTTTGTGTTGTATGAATATTTGTTTCATGTCAAATGCCTGGTAAATCCTCTGTAAACACACCTTTGTATGAATATTTCTCATAGTTATTAGGTTAGTATGCTGCATATTTATAATCGCATCCTAGCATCGATTGACCATAGAACTGTATGAATTTGTTTTTCATCCTTTTAACCCCTTTTCCTACAAAACTCCTCTTGTAAGAATCTGCTGTTGCTAAAAGTTCTACCTAAACCCATTTCTACTAGACTATCTTTCATTCTGAATGAGTGCAGGTGACTAGAAGTATCGATACAGAGCATGGCCGACTAAGCCCACAAGAAACGAAAACAGTCGAAGCGATTGTGAAAGCAAGGTACTAAATGGTTGCTTCTGGCCCCAAATGTTGTTTTCTTCAGTATTCGACTTCCTAATATAATAATTACTTTGCAGTGAGTATCCTTTGTCGATTATTTTAGTCGGTGTTGGAGATGGACCATGGGACATGATGAGAGAATTTGATGATAACATTCCTGCCCGTGCCTTCGATAATTTCCAGGCAAGTGTGGCTTGTTGACATTATTTTCTCTCATATTAGCTTCTTGAAGCTGGTAAAGGTAACATGTATTATCCATATTTCTAATCTGAAATGCTGCTTCCTGTAGTTTGTGAATTTTACGGAAATAATGTCGAAGAATATGGATAGGTCCCGGAAAGAGGCAGAGTTTGCTCTTTCGGCATTGATGGAAATTCCGTCTCAGTACAAAGCAACGCTAGAGCTCAACATATTGGGGTAATAATTGGTCTTGTCTTTGTAGGTTTACAAGGCTTTTCCCGGTTCTTAACCAGGAAGATAGCATTCAAATGCAACTTATTTTTCGTTATTGGTTTAACAGTAATACAAGGGGGAAAGCTATAGATAGGGTTCCTCTTCCCTCTCCTCTTTATGGTGTGGGTTCTTTTAGCCACTCGAAACCTTCACGTTCGAGCAGTTTTCGTCCAAGTGCGCCTTCTTCCGGTAGACATGAAGAACCAGTCCGAACAGCTCCTCCCGCAAGTTCCGCTCCATATAATCATGTAATCTTATCCTAATTAAAGTTGCAAGTCTCGCAAACCAATCTTTAAACAAGTCCACATTTGCATGTCTTTTCGACAGGTTTGCCCTATTTGTCTTTGCAATGCAAAAGATATGGCCTTTGGTTGTGGACATCAGGTAAAGTAACTAAGGGTCTTATTATATTCCGACTTTCTTTGCTGTTGGAGGGATGGATGCCTAAATTTCACTTCCTTGCAGACCTGTTGCGGTTGCGGACAAGACCTTCAGTTGTGTCCGATCTGCCGAAGCACCATAGACACCAGAATAAAACTCTATTAAGCAAAATATTCTTTGCCTGTTGCGAGTTCGGATGAGACCTTCGGTTGTTCGGTTCTCTTAAGTTTTTATTTTTAAATATCTGGAGAGTTCTTAGATCATATTTTTATATACGAAAATATGCCTGTTGGACTAATATAGTTAGGAGTGGCATGCTACCATTGCTTTCTTTAACCTTGCATAAATAGTATGAATATTATATAAATATTAAGGTGTCAATTTTTATTCATATATATCAGTTTAAACGCTATTACGATATGGGAAAATTGCAGATTTAAATATAGATATTGCAAGAACTGTGCAGTACCTGGTAGGGTCATGCTTTGCATGAACATCTCACGCCAAGATTGCTTCAAATAACTTCACGACATAACAGGACTCATCGGTCGGAATTTCAGCAAAACTAGTAGTTATGCCTGTAACAGAGCCTCTTGGATTACCCGAATCCTAAAACCAACCTATATAAGAAAGTTCATATAATAACCCCAGGAACCACAAGAGTTGATCTCCAGTTTTCAGGCCATGGGAAACAAGCCATATTTGCTTTGCCTTTCGATTCATGCAATCTTTGCTTTACAGCATTTCGTTTTTAGTGATGCAGTAAAGAGTCCTGTCCGGAGGCCCCTCAGTGAGCGACATGGGAAATGGGTGCTATTGCGGAATAATACTGGGGTGGTCGCCATGCACATGGCGTTAACACATGAAAATACTGTTATTATCTTCGATCAAACCGCTGCAGGCCCTTCTCAATACCGGCTTCATCAACGGTATAACGGAAGTCAATGTAGTACTCGTTCTCGTAATGATTTGAAAGATGGGACGTGTTATGCTCATTCAGTTGAATACGAAATTCACCGTAATAACCTACGGCCGCTTAGGCTTGTCTCTGATCCCTGGTGTTCTTCGGGTTCTTTTCTCGGCAATGGCACACTGATGCAGATTGGTGGCCATGGTCGTGGTTCTAAAAGGGTTAGATATTTCAGACCTTGTGATAATCATCAATGCAACTGGCAACAATCGACGAGATCGTTGTCGGATAGTCGATGGTATGCTTCGAATCAATTATTGCCTCAACATGATCGAGTTATTGTTGTTGGTGGAAGGAATGCTCGCAGTTATGAATTTGTGCCTAAATTGCATTGCCAGGACAAATCTTTTAATCTTCCATTTTTGCATGACACTAATGACGCCCATGGTGGTGGAAACAACCTCTATCCTTTCCTCCATCTTTCTTCCGATGGTAACCTCTTCATCTTCGCCAACCGTGATTCTATCCTTTTCAATTATCGAAGAAACCGTGTGATCAAATCCTTTCCGAGGATTCCAGGTGGTGGTTCAAGAAATTATCCGAGTTCAGGGTCATCAGTGATTCTCCCATTAGATCACAGAGATAATTTCCAAAAAGTAGAAGTTATGGTATGCGGCGGTGCAGCGTCAGGAGCTTATGAAGCGGCCGAAGAAGGGAGATTCCTCCGGGCGTTGAACTCCTGTGGGAGAATGGTGATCACAGGGAACATTCATAAGTGGAGTATGGAAAACATGCCTGGACCTCGTACCATGCATGATATGCTGATCCTTCCTACTGGCCATATATTGATCATCAATGGCGCTAAACGTGGTTGCGCTGGATGGCAGAATGCGGTGACGCCATCGCTCGAGCCATATCTTTACAATCCGAAGAAAGCGGTCGGCGAAAGATTTACGGTCCTAAAAGCAACCAAGATTGCCAGAATGTATCATTCGTCGGCCCTTCTTTTACCGAACGGAAGAGTCTTGGTTGCTGGCGGCAACCCTAATAATAAATACACTTTCAGCGAAGTTGCTTACCCGACGGAGCTAAGATTACAGGCGTTCGTCCCTGATTATATGGACCGTCAATTCGATCACTTGAGGCCTAGGAATCTGACGGTAGAGTACGGGGGGAATTCTTCCGGTGTCGCATATGGGAAACAGTTTACAGTTCACTTCTTGCTCGGAAGAAGGCCGGGTAAAGATGTGGAATATAGCGTTTACGCGCCGCCGTTCACGACGCATTCGAATTCAATGAATCAAAGGTTGCTGAAACTGAGATGCCAGCGGATGACGAGGGATGGTGGTGGTTTGATGAGTGCTGTTTTGGAGGGTCCTCCGTCACCGAATGTTGCACCACCTGGTTACTATTTGCTTACCGTTGTTAATGCAGGCATTCCTAGCTTATCAAAATGGATTACATTCACCAATGCTTGATCTTTCTTGCAATTTGTCTTCATTATTGAAAATAAATGTTTCTAATTTGCCGTGTTTATATTGTAAATTCACTTTAAGAAAATACGTAGGTGATTTGTTTTAAGTAAATGACGATTATTTAGGTAGTAGTCTTTCCTACAGTATACATCAAAATCCTCGTCTAATATCCATCATTTTTCGCCAAAATTAATTATTTATCAAATCATCATTTAATGCAGAAGATTTAAATGTGTAAAGTTTTTCCCACTATAATCGTCATCTTTTGTGTGAGACTTTTGATTTTTTATTTTATTTTTAAAACTAAATTAAAAAATATAGAAACTAAAATTTTCATTTTATAAAAGTTGATTATATAATAAAATATAACGTTGTGTTAATTTAATTCACTTAAAATTGATTTATGAAAATTCTTAATTTAGTTCTTTCATTTTTATTTCTTTATAATTTGATTAAAAATACAAAAAAAAAAAATCAAAGTCGCCACCTCTTGAAGGTGACTTTGTCGGGATTTTTTTTATTTTTGTAAAATTAGGTATTAAAAAATTAAAAATACATAAATTAAAGTAAATATTAGCTATATGATAAAATGAAATTATGAGTTTAAGAAAGGAGTCTGAAAATTTAATTTAATTAAAACTAATTTTTAAAAAATTATATTTTAATCCTAAACTTTTTTTTTACAATTTAGTTTAAAATGCAAAAAAGTGGAGGAATTAAAATAAGAATTTTTAAAAGTTAACTTTAAAATAATTAAGTGAAACGCTGAGTTTAAGAAAGGAACTGTTACATTATTATTATTATTATTATTATTATATATTATTATTTATATAGTCATTTTATTTTATTTTTGTATTTTTAATTTCTTTCAATTTGATGTAGTTATTTACTTATTTACCCCTTAAAATTTTTATCTTTCACATTTACTCCTTAAAAGTTTCATTTTGATTTCATCCCAAATTATATATATCTATAAAATTTTAACTTAAAATTATAAAATTTAATAAAATTTTCGTCCCATCCAATTTTGGTCATCAATTTTAAAAATAGTAATTTTGATTCCATAAGTTATCAGTTAGTTCAATCTTGGTCCCTATAGTGACAACCTGCAAAAGAGGATAATGGCCCTTATTAGCGAAATTCTCAGCCCCCTTTTCAGAGTTTTCTTCTACTAATTCTGTCTCATCTTTGAAAACATATTTATTTCTTTTTTCTTTCTCTAATTCAATCTATCGATTACCTATTTTGTTTCATTGTTACCACCTCTTTTTGAAACCAAATAGCGATTGAATTTGAAGTAGAATGGGGTTTTATCGTCCATTATTCTCTTTTGCATGTTTTTTTTTTAAATTTTAATTGTCAACCTAAACTTCCGTTAATGGATTAATGGTTGAGGAACTAAATCAAACAGACCGATAACATAAATGATCAAAATCATAATTTTTTAAATTGGTGATCAAAACCGGACAGATAAAAAAATAAGGGACCATTCGTATAATTTACCCTCTAATAAATTATCCTATTAAATATCATACCATAAAGCTTAGAGTATAATGGCATTCCGTATTGTAATATAATGATATTAACCAATAATTTATTTCTATGCTATCTACAATTTCTATTATAGTATCTTTACTGCAAGATTATGATTTACTATAATTATTATTAATCATTTTTTTATTATTTTTAATAGTCTTCTATTGATAGCGTGTACATACTTTGTCGACACAACTGCTCGAATCTAAAATATTTTAAAAAATAATAAATGTTTTATAACCGAGACCACTCAATGAGTTTAATTATTTATTATTATTTAATATATTGTTGTTATGATATTTATCATATATGTTAGTGTGGTTTTGTCTAGGTATAAGGATGGATCGAGAGGGTTGTTGGAGAGTGCAATCGTACCCTTAGAAATTTAAAATTATCTTATATTCACATTTTTAGTATTTTTATTGATCATCTAATTTTCCCATCCCCTAAATTTCTAAAGTTCACACACCCCTAATATAAATCCTTGTGTTCATTCCTATCTAGATAGTACTTTGGGTTGATCGATTTTGGGATAAAATATTAAAGTGTAAACAAAAACAAATATATATATATATATATATCATATAAGTGTTGAAAAATAACAAATTAATTGAATAAAATTGATGATATATATAATAAGTCATGTCACTCTGTGAATATACTTATTAATAATAAGTTCTATTTTTTTTTTCATATGGGTTCAAGCACCAACAAAGCAATTTGTGAATACCCTATTTTTTAAAATCTACAAAAAGAAAAAAAAGAAAATGTCAAGTTGAGAGGTACATCGTCATACAGTAGATTCTATCACATATAATTATTTTTAAATAATTAAATAAATATATATCTTATCATATATAATTATTTTTAAATAATTAATAAATAAATATATTTTAAATTATTTATGATATAATATAATTTTTATTTAATTTTTAAATAATTGAATATTTTATTATATGATAAATAAATATTATAAATTTAAATTTTAAAATAATTTAATATTAATTTTATATAAAAAATTATTTAATTATTTTTATTCACAAATAAAATTAAAAATAATTTAATTTTTAATTTAATAGTTATATAAATTAAATATTAATATTGGTGGAAATAAAAAGAATTCTTAGCCAAACTTAATGGTTTAATATTTGTACACTTATACCATAGGTCTCATGTTTTTTGGTTTTTTTTTATTAATATGAGGTAAGTACAAAGAAGTATATGTTCAAAGATAACTCTCAATCATTCGACATTGAACGCTCATACTCCTAATATTCATGGTGCTCAAAGCTGGGGCCTCAAGGAATAACAACAATTCCTTTAACACCGAAGTCACTTGGTTTGTGCATAAATCTTGTTAGAAAAAAATGTTAATTCAAGAAAATAAAATAATAATAATAATAATATATAATTATATAATAGAATGAAACAAAATAAATAAAGAATAAAAATTAAAGGACGAAATTGGTTACTTGTGTGTAGACATGAAAACGATTGAGTGAAGTCAGATAAACTGAAGAATGATTTTTGTTGAGGTATGTATGAACAATTTCCTTAAGACAAATTCGTCCTCTCCTCGATGCTTTGAGTAATGTTGGACGTCGGTCTCTCAGGATACAACAACAAACAGAATGGGAAGCTCCCAATAATAATAGAGTTACAACTCAAATGTACACAAGGTCTATGAATAGTACATGCCCACTAAAATATTCAAGACGTACTTTTATAGCTCGATCCAAGTTGGGACCATAATATGGTGATAAGCTCCTCAAACTGCTCACATAAGAACCTAAAAACAGAAACACATTATGAAAGCTGAGCTCACAAGCTCTATGTGTAACAACCCGATAATATCAAAATAATAGTTAAATGGAATTGAAGATTTAATTGTGAAAATTGGTAAATTTTAGGGACTAAATTGAAAGATTTTAAAACTTGTAGCTTATTTTAGAGTTAAAGAAAATTCAGGGACCAAGCCCTGAATTTACCTAAAAAAGTTAGGTATTTGGTTTATATATATGATATATGCGTGAATTGGGTTCTGAAAATCAGAACCCAATTCCTCCCAAATTTCCATTTCCTTACCTCAACTTCCGACGACGATTCTGACACCGTCCGAATTCCGATCGTCGTTTTGAAAGTACCATCGTGTTCCTTGTGCCGTTCCGAGTCCGCCGGTGTCATCCTCGATCTCTGTTGACGGCGACGCGTGGGGAGGTGGATCAGTCAAAGATTCGACCGAGTCGAAATCGAGCTTTCCGCCGTTCAAAAATTTGAACCGATCTTAGTAAGTATCTTGAAATCGCTCAAAATAATTTTTAGAAAATTTTCTGTGATTTTTAGAGCCCCGGAGGACGTCGCACGCGCCACAAGCGCCGCCGTAGGCGAGTGAACGCTGGAAACCGGTTTTGAACCGGTTTTGACCGGTCACGACCCGACCCGTTGACCCGACCCGACCGTTGACCCGACCCGTTGACCGATGCAATTCTGGGAATTAATTTGGTTTTGGTGCTATTTTGAGAATTAATTCGAAAAGGGTGCTATATTGGTAATTATTTTAAAAAAGGTGCTATTTGTGTAAAATGTTTGACAGTTTGTTGACCTCCTTTGACCAGAACTTTGACTGGCTTTGACCGGCTATTAAACGACCTTTTTTTTGACCACAAATACATATCCTGATAGTTTTCAACGTCCCGAATCCGTTTTTGGGGTCCGTTTCACTAAATTCAAACCCAAAAGTCTCCAAATCGTTAGTCAAACCCATTGACTTTATTTTTGACCAAGAATTTGAAATTTAGGAAGGTCATACTTTATGTTTTTCGACGTCCTAAATTTGATTCCGAAGTCCGTTTTGCCAAATTCTGACCTGAAATTCCCGAATCGAGCTTGTAAACCCAAAAGGCTTAATATTTTAATATTTTGATTATTTAAATGAGATTTGGTCAAGGATTTAATCAATAAAAATATTTTATGAAGGTACTCGTGTTTCACCTGAGCAAGGATCAATTAGGTCCGGTGTTATCCGTTCGTTAGATCAGCCTGAACCGCGTACTACGAGAATTACCCGTAGGTTTCCGTATATTATTTAAATAATATTTAGATTATTTATATTAGGATTCCAATATGGATTTTTCCAATTCGTAGGGTCTAGCGCTGTAGCAGAACGTGATCGACAGACCCAGTAATAGGCTTCCCTATCTGATTTCCCAGACTGTTACAGGTGTGTTTCCTGACAGTGTTATTTTTCTGTTTTAAACTATCATATAAATAGTTTATCTGATTTTTGACCTGGATTCTGATATGATATTTGACCTGGATTTTTATATGATACTTGACATGGACTCTGTTTTGTACTTGACTTGAATTATGTTTTAATTTTTGATATACATATATCCGTTATAAGCGGAATATGATTATTTTGGGGGGAATAATGTTAGAGGAAGTATACCTGGAGGTTCCTCTGCTGTGTGCTCAGGATCTTATTTACCGGCTCCTCTGCTGTGTGCTCAGGACCTTACTGGACTTGTTGGTGGGTGTATGGTTTTGGGGAACCTACACAATTTGGACTTGATGGATGGGGGTAGTATATATATATAAAACATGTTTGATAACTGATTTTACTGGAATATTTTATTCGTACGTTTTATACATTGTTTGGAGCACACTGAGCTTTTTAGCTCATTCTATAGTTTTTACCCTTTTTCAGATAATAGCAGATCATAAGCTAGCAGATTTGGCATCAGGAGAGATCAACTACTTATTTTGTACGAACATATATTTCTATATGTTTTTCAGTTATATTTTGTGACATGTATTTGCTATCGTTTTGTACATATTTTGTAATATTAATATATTTTGTTTAATATTCTATAAGTTGTAATAAAAAAAACTCTGAATGGGATATGTGACCACTTAGGTTTGGGTCTAACTTATAGACCGGGTCTGGGGGTTACATTTGGTGGTATCAGAGCTTTCAGTTTTAAACACTCGAACTGTATATGGGTCCTAAATTTTGGATTTTTAAGAAATAAAAAAAATGTCACCTTATGTTATGATTTAAAGTTTTCTCGAGATCCTTGATACTAATCTGACACATGTTTCAAATTCTTTCTGTAGAGCCTTATAGATCCAACGATGAATGCTGCTAGAGGTCGTAGGACAGGACGTGGACGTGGTAGAGGGCGAGTCACTCGACCTTCTGTTACGATAGACGATCCGATGTCACCACGTGATCCTCCTGTTCCGCAAGTAGATCTGACTCTTTCTCATGATGATCAGTTTACTCCCGTGAGAGACCCTCCCGTCACTGAGGATGAGGATACTGAGATGAATGAAGACGCCATTACTAGAGCTATCTTCCGCATGTTTCAGAGAGCTGCTAGAGCCCCTAGTAACATGACTGCAGTGGAGATTTCAAATTCTTTGGTCGCTGCTGGTGTAGTTCCATTTGAGGGTATTACTAGTGGACCTCCGACAGACGCTGAGTATTGGCTGGAGGACACAGAGAGGATTATGGATGAAATGGACCTCAGACCTGAGCAGAAGTTGAAGGGGGCCGTAACTATGTTGAAGAAATAAAGCTTCAGATGGTGGCAATCCATTTCTGGTAGTATTCCGAGGAACCAATTAACATGGGATCTTTTCAAGACGCGCTTCCGGAGTCGCTACATCGGAGAGAGATATCTACAGGAGCGACGCCAGGAGTTTCAGAATCTGGAGCAGGGTAATATGTCTGTTATGGATTACGAGGTTGAGTTCATCCGATTGAGCCGATATGCTCATGAACTTGTGAACACTGAGACAGATCGATGCTTGAGGTTCGAGAATGGACACATGTATGAGATCAGGAGTCGAGTCGCTACCTATCGAGAGAGGAATTTTGATGCTTTGGTTGAGATAGCCAAGACTGCTGAGGAAATAGAGCGACTGGGTATGGAGCACAGGAGAGATAGTGATCGAGCTCAAACCCGATTCAGGAGGCCTTCTGGTTCTGTTAATTCTTCTGCACATCCTAGCAAGAGAGGCAGGGGTGATTCATTTCAGAGAGGCGGTGCGAGTGTCAGACATGTTGCATCCAGTTCTTCAATTGTATATTCTTCTAGACATGGTGGATCATCTGGGTTGCAAGCTTTGAAGATATGTTATTACTGTGGAAAACATCATATTGGAGAATGCAGAATGAAATTGGGCACATGTTATAAGTGTGGTTCTGGTGACCATTTTTTGAGGGACTGTCCAGAGCGAGATCGTTCATTTCAGACACCAGCTCGTACTCCCGCTCGTACTCAGAGTATTGTTCAGACTCCAACAGTGAGTCATAGTCAGGGCAGAGTACCAGGATCGGCTAGTAGAGGCCGAGCATCTCAGAGTAGAGGTCCAGTGAGATCTGATGCCAGACAGCCTGCATTGGTTTACACTACCAGACTTCGACAAGATCGTGATGGGCCAAATGTGACTGCAGGTACTGTTACTATTCATTCAGTTCCATACTTTGCATTGTTTGATAGTGGCTCTACAAATTCCTATGTATCACATTCCGTTTCTGAGGGTCTAAATATTCCTGTTGAGAATACTGAGCGTTCAGTGATAGTTCAAAGCCCCTTAGGCAAATCCATCGTGTTGGATCATATTTTTAGAGAGTGCCCTATAGAGATCAATGGGGAGATTTTTCTGGCTGATCTGATGGAGTTACCCTTTGAAGAGTTCGATTTGATTCTCGGCGTAGATTGGTTGGACAAACATCGAGTAAATATTGATTTTGAGACTAAGAGAGCTATTCTGAAGACCCTAGATAATCGAAAGATTGTAATGATCGGGGAACGACGTGGATTTCTGACGAATGTTGTGTCTGCCTTGGTAGCGGAGAAGATGATCAGGAAGGGTTCTGAGGCGTTTCTTGCTTATATTTTGGACACTAGGAGATCGCAATCCGATATTGAAGGCATCCGAATTGTCAAGGAATTTCTTGATGTTTTTCCCGAGGAGTTGCCTGGATTACCTCCAGATAGAGAAGTCGAGTTTGTGATTGAAGTCTATTCTGGTTCTACCCCGGTTTCAATGGCTCCTTATCGTATGGCCCCAAAGGAGCTTAAGGAACTGAAAGTTCAACTTCAGGAGTTGTTGGACAGGGGATTTATTCGACCTAGTGTATCACCGTGGGGAGCCCCAGTTCTCTTTGTCAAGAAGAAAGATGGGACGTTGAGACTCTATATCGATTATAGGAAACTGAACAAGCTCACGGTGAAAAACAAATATCCTCTGCCCAGAATCGACGATCTATTTGACCAATTTCGAGGGGCTTCTATCTTTTCAAAGATAGACTTACGATCTGGTTATTATCAACTCAAAGTGAAAGATTCGGATATTCCGAAGACTGCATTCCGTACTCGATACGGGCACTATGAGTTTTTAGTGATGTCATTCGGGTTAACTAATGCCCCCTGCTGCTTTTATGGATCTGATGTATAGGGTGTTTCGACCTTATTTGGACCGGTTTGTAGTTGTATTCATTGATGATATACTGGTGTATTCTAGAGGTGAAGTAGAACATGAGGAGCATTTAAGGATTGTTCTTCAGACTCTACGGGAGAATAAGCTATACGCTAAGTTGAGCAAGTGTGAGTTCTGGCTCAGCAAAGTGACTTTTCTTGGACATATCGTCTCTGCTGATGGCATTCAGGTGGATCCAAGCAAAGTGGAGGCTATTCTGAACTGGAAGCAACCCAGAAACATCTCTGAGATCCGTAGTTTCTTGGGCTTAGCTGGTTACTACCATCGTTTCGTTGAGGGGTTCTCCCTTATTGCAGCTCCTCTGACGAAACTATTGAGGAAAGATGTTCCATTTGTCTGGTCTGAGGACCAACAAGCTAGCTTTGAGAAATTGAAGACTGTTTTAACTCAAGCCCCAGTGTTGATTCAGCCTGAATCTGGGAAGGATTTTTCTGTCTACAGTGATGCTTCTCATTCTGGATTAGGATGTGTTTTGATGCAAGAGAAGAAGGTTGTCGCTTATGCGTCATGTCAGTTAAGGCCGCATGAGCGTAATTATCCTACTCACGATCTGGAATTAGCTGCGGTGGTTTTGCTTTAAAGATCTGGAGACACTACCTCTACGGAGAAAAGTGTTATATCTATACTGATCATAAGAGTCTGAAGTATCTGCTTACTCAGAAAGAATTGAATTTGAGACAGCGTCGCTGGTTGGAGCTTTTAAAAGACTATGATTTTGAGATAGAATATCATCCAGAGAAGGCTAATGTAGTGGTAGACGCCTTGAGCCGTAAGGCGATATCAGATCTCAGAGCCTTATTTGCCAACTTGAGCTTATTTGATGATAATAGCCTATTAGCAGAGTTACATGTTAAACCTACTTTGGCCGAGAAGATTAAGGCCAAACAACTCCTTGATAGCTCGTTGCTTCCCATTATTGAACAAGTTAAGCATGGATCGAGTTCGGAGTATACTGTGGATCAGGATGGTATTTTGTGTTTTCACGGTCGTTACTGCGTCCCTAAAGATGATGAGTTGAGACATATTATTCTTCAGGAGGCTCATAATAGTCTTTATGCTATGCATCCTGGTGGGGACAAAATGTACAATAATCTCAAAGAGCGCTACTTTTGGAGTGGTATGAAGAAGAATATTTTAGATTTTGTGGCAAGGTGTTTGACTTGTCAGCAGGTTAAGGCAGAGAACCAGCATCCGTCTGGATTGTTACAGTCAATTAAGATTCCTGAGTGGAAATGGGAGCGTATTACGATGGACTTCGTTACTGGTCTTCCTCTAACTCATTCCAAAAAGGATTCTATCTGGGTGATTGTTGATCGACTCACCAAGTCAGCGCACTTTATCCCTATTCGGGTTAATTATTCTCTGGATAAACTGGCTAAGTTGTACATTTCTGAGATCGTTAGACTTCATGGTGTTCCGTTGTCTATCATATCTAATCGAGATCCGAGATTCACTTCCAGGTTCTGGAAAGCTTTGCACGAGGCTCTGGGTACTCGTTTGAATTTCAGTATAGCTTTTCATCCCCAAACTGATCGACAGTCTGAGCGAGTGATTCAGGTGTTGGAGGATATGTTACGGGGTTGTGTGATTGATTTCCGTGGTAGTTGGGAAGATTTCTTGCCATTAGCTGAGTTTGCTTACAATAATAGTTATCAGGCGAGTATTCGCATGGCACCGTACGAGGCTCTGTATGGACGTAGATATCGTACTCCTATATGTTGGACAGAGATACATGATAGAAAAACTTTGGGTCCAGACTTAGTTCGAGAGACTGAAGATACTGTCAGACTGATCCATGATCGCTTAAGAGAGACAATTGATAGGCAGAAGTCATACGCAGATAAGTGACGTAAGGATATCGAGTTTGAGGTTGGAGATCAGGTTTTTCTCAAGGTATCTCCATGGAAGAAGGTATTAATATTTGGACGTAAAGGTAAACTGAGTCCGCGATTTATTGGGCCGTATCGTATTCTGAAGAAAGTTGGACCTGTTGCTTATCAGCTTGAGTTGCCTTCCCAGCTCAGTCGTATTCATGATGTTTTTCATGTTTCTATGTTGAGGCGATACCGTCCAGATCCAGATCACATCATCCAGGTTGATGAGGTAGAGCTGAGACCTGATTTGTCATATGAGGAGGAGCCTGTTCAGGTTTTAGAGAGGGATGAGCGAGTCCTTCGGAATAGGCGTATTCCAATGGTCAAAGTGCAGTGGAGTAATCGTAGCCCCTCAGAAGCTACTTGGAAGACATTGGAGTCAATGGAGGTTCAATTTCCTCATCTGTTTTCATAAGGTAAATTTCGAGGACGAAATTTCTTGTAGAGGGGGAGAATTGTAACAACCCGATAATATCAAAATAATAGTTAAATGGAATTGAAGATTTAATTGTGAAAATTGGTAATTTTTAAGGACTAAATTGAAAGATTTTAAAACTTGTAGCTTGTTTTAAAGTTAAAGAAAATTTAGGGACCAAGCCCTGAATTTACCTAAAAAAGTTAGGTATTTGGTTTATATATATGATATATGCGTGAATTGGGTTCTGAAAATCAGAACCCAATTCCTCCCAAATTTCCATTTCATTACCTCAACTTCCGACGACGATTCCGACACCGTCCGAATTTCAATCGTCGTTTTGAAAGTACCATCGTGTTCCTTGTGCCGTTCCGAGTCCGCCGGTGTCATCCTCGATCTCCGTTGACGGCGGCGCGTGGGGAGGTGGATCAGTCAAAGATTCGGTCGAGTCGAAATCGAGCTCTCCGCCGTTCAAAAATTTGAACCGATCTTAGTAAGTATCTCGAAATCGCTCAAACTAATTTTTAGAAATTTTTCCGTGATTTTTAGAGCCCCGAAAGACGTCGCACGCGCCACACGCGCCGCCGTAGGCGAGTGAACGCTGGAAACCGGTTTTGACTAGTTTAACCGGTTTGACCGGTCACGACCCGACCCGTTGACCTGATCCGACCGTTGACCCGACGCGTTGACCAGTGCTATTCTGGGAATTAATTTGGTTTTGGTGCTATTTTGGGAATTAATTCGAAAAGGGTGCTATATTGGTAATTATTTTAAAAAGGGTGCTATTTGTGTAAAATGTTTGACAGTTTGTTGACCTCATTTGACCAGAACTTTGACCGACTTTGACCGGCTATTAAACGACCTTTGTTTTCGACCACAAATACCTATCTTGATAGTTTTCGACGTCCCGAATCCGTTTTACTAAATTCAAACCCGAAAGTCTTTAAATCGTCAGTCAAACCCGTTGAATTTATTTTTGACCAAGAATTTGAAATTTCGGAAGGTCATACTTTATGTTTTTCGACGTCCTGAATTTGATTCCGAAGTCCGTTTTGCCAAATTCTGACCCGAAATTCCCGAATCGAGCTTGTAAACCCAAAAGGCTTAATATTTTAATATTTTGATTATTTAAATGAGATTTGGTCAAGGATTTATTCAATAAAAATATTTTATGAAGGTATTCGTGTTTCACCTGAGCAAGGATCAATTAGGTCCGGTGTTATCCGTTCGTTAGATCAGCCTGAACCGCGTACTACGAGAATTACCTGTAGGTTTCCGTATATTATTTAAATAATATTTAGATTATTTATATTAGGATTCCAATATGGATTTTTCCAATTCGTAGGGTCTAGCGCTGCAGCAGAACGTGATCGACAGACCCAGTAATAGGCTTCCCTATCTGATTTCCCAGACTGTTACAGGTGTGTTTTCTGACAGTGTTATTTTATTGTTTTAAACTATCATATAAATAGTTTATCTGATTTTTGACCTGGATTCTGATATGATATTTGACCTGAATTTTTATATGATACTTGACATGGACTCTGTTTTGTACTTGACTTTAATTATGTTTTAATTTTTTATATACATATATCTGTTATAAGCAGAATATGATTATTTTGGGGGGAATAATGTTGGAGGAAGTATACCTGGAGGTTCCTCTGCTGTGTGCTCAGGACCTTATTTACCGGCTCCTCTGCTGTGTGCTCAGGACCTTACTGGACTTGTTGGTGAGTGTATGGTTCTGGGGAACCTACACAATTTGGACTTGATGGATGGGGGTAGTATATATATATAAAACATGTTTGATAACTGATTTTACTGAAATATTTTATTCTTACGTTTTATACACTGTTTGGAGCACACTGATCTTTTTAGCTCATTCTATAGTTTTTACCCTTTTTCAGATAATAGCATACCATAAGCTAGCAGATTTGGCATCAGGGGAGATCAACTACTTATTTTGTATGAACATATATTTCTATATGTTTTTCAGTTATATTTTGTGACATGTATTTGCTATCGTTTTGTACATATCTGTAATATTAATATATTTTGTTTAATATTCTATAAGTTGTAATAAAAAAAAAACTCTGAATGGGATATGTGACCACTTAGGTTTGGGTCTAACTTACAGACCGGGTCTGGGGGGTTACACTATGTCACACAAATAATTATATTATACTACATGCATTCATCATATGAGCATGCTAATAAGTATAGTCATGAACAATATAAATTCACCAAACATACAATCACAAGCAAACATCATGATGTAATCTGGCACAACATCAACATCTTACATCCGAATGACACTCATTGTCAAGTACCTAAGGTGAGATCTTGGTCACGAAGCATCCGCATTTTACATCCGGTTAGTATATTCCTCTCGAGTACACGGAACGTGTCTGGGCACGGAGCATCAAAGCAATATCCGACTAGCATTTAAAGTGCTCGTGCACTAAATTGAATATACACGAATATTTCTCATACAAGCTAGACGATCGTCACACATACAAGTAATTCAAGCGTCCTCATCGTTTCCCGAATGTCAAATAAAGACACAAGTCTTATGGAATCTTACCTCATAATATTCTTATGCTTATCATAGAATTTATTCAATATTTTCGCTTGCAAGCTTTTATTAGTAGGTTTAACGTCCCTAGACTCTTCTCTCGAGTCCCTCGCAAAACAAGGCTTCTAGCCTTTATTTCATTAAATAATACTAATACCTAGCCCTAAGGTATTGGTACTAACCTTGGAGTATCAATATTTACCCTTGGTACCGATACCCTTTTTGCATTTGATGTTCAGAAATTCCCTTTGGTATCGATACTACCTTAGAGTATTAATACCATTTTTGTTTTCTATTTTTGAAAAATTCCCCTCAGTATCAATACCCTTATCTAGAGTATCGGTACTATCTCATGGTATTGATACTATCCCGAGGAATCGGTACCGAATTTGACTATTGTAATCTAAAATTGAACCTTTATATCGATGACATATCATCAATATTGATACTCTATGAATCGAGTATTGATAACACTCGGCCAAAACCCTTGATTTTGGCTTATCTCAAGAACAATACCAATATTGTTCATCCATTATCGGTACTCAACCCAGAAATGTCATGTTTCTCACAAGAGTTATGCTCCAACACATATCTAATACCCTCTTAAGGCCCTCAAATGTTATTCGAAGCTTATGGAAATTTAAAGGGAATTTTCTCCCACTTCTTTCACTAATCACATAACAAGGAATGAGTTGCTAAGTCTTCTAAGGACTTAAGAAAAGTAGAAATATGATATCCAAACATTAGAAACGAGTTGGAATCATCTAAGGAAGAGGGATTGAATGAAAGTTCTAGAGGTGAAAATTACTCTCCTTACCTTTGCCAATTTGGACTAGGAATGTAGAATAATAAAGGTGTTTTCTTTGTTGCTTCAAGACTTGAAAGAAGGGAGTGAAGAGAAAAGAGAAAAAAGACAAAGGAATGAAGAACAATATGCCTCAACAAATTAATGGGAAATCAACCTTTCAAACTTTTAATGGTACAATTTCCTCTTTGGTCCTATCTTCTTTGGACTCAATTCAAAAACCCTCTTTTTATTGTTATTTGGACTCAATTCTAACTCAATCAAGCTCATACTTAGCACAACTATTTTAATATATTAACAAACCAATCCATGGTCCACTCAAGTAAAATAATATTGTTGACCTGAAATTGGGATGTTACAACGTCCACACTTGATCTTATATATAATAAAAATTTAGGAAACATAACCAAAATAAAGTCAAAATTCTTATATAAAAAATAAACAAGTAATTAAAATTTAATAAAATTTAACAAAACAATTGATTGAATTAAATATCAAAATTTTAAACGTTAAAAAAAGAGATGGATACAGTCTACTTAATTTTTAATATTTTAAAAGCTAACATTTTAAACCTTTTTAGAATAATTAAGTAATATGTTTTAATTTTTATAATTTTTTGTGTGACTTTTCTCTCAGCCTATTTATAGAGCCAACGTTCCACAATATTCATACATCCATTATCCTGTTCTTGATGGAGTCCCACTTAGATTCCTCAAGTAAACATGTTGAGAATGAAAATGAAGATGAGTTTGAGAGATCCTTCAAAGAGATGTTATCCACTCTCCCCAAAGGGAACAGCTGGGGTAATTTTGAAAATTTATTTCAATACCAAGGATTCTGGCTCTACCCGACTTACTTAAAAGGAGTTGTTTCAGCTCAACAACAATTCCAGGCTCAACCCTCCGATATCATGCTTTGCAGTTTCCCCAAAACCGGCACCACCTGGTTAAAATCCCTCATTTTTTCCATCATTACAAGAACTTCATTCGATGATTCAACCTGCCCTTTGCTTTCCAAGTCGCCTCATGATGTTGTGCCTTTCATGGAGCTTCATCATGCCCATTTCTCCACTCACCGGGACCTTGGAATTCCTGTGTTAGCCACACATGCTCCTTATTCTTCCTTACCCAGGTCGATAATCGATTCTGGTTGTAGAATTGTTTACATTTGCAGGGACCCCAAGGATTCATTTGTTTCATTGTACCACTTCAAAGTCCAGATCATCCGAACATCCAAAAACACTCAAGCTCAACCCATTGATCTCAATGAGGCGTTTGAGTTGTTTTGTGAAGGTGAAAATATCTATGGACCTTACTGCGACCATGTTTTGGGGTATTGGAAAGCAAGTGTGGAACATCCAGATAAGATTATGTTCTTGAAGTATGAAGAGATGAAAGATGAGACTGTTTTGTATGTTAATAAATTGGCGGAGTTCATCGGTTACCCTTTTTCATTGGAGGAACATAAAAAAGGAGTAGCTGAAAAGATTGTAAAGAAGTGTAGTTTCGAGAATTTAAGCAATCTGGAAGTGAATAAAAGTGAAAAAGATTACAGAAAAGTGATTCAGAACAAGATGTTTTTTCGAAAAGGGAAGGTTGGGGATTGGAAGAATTATTTGACTCCTGAAATGGCCGCACGGTTGGACCAAATAATACAGCAGAAGCTCAGCGGTTCTGGTTTAAGTTTGTGAATGTTAAAGAACTGGTTCATAATATCCATTTTCATGTGTGGTTCAGAGTTTGCTTTATGTTTTAGTTTCCCTTGAATAAAGGCTCTGTTTAAACCAGACATTGTAATTTGATCTTTGTTTTACTACCTTTGAATAAACTACGAGCAGCAAAAGCATTGCATTTGCTTGCAAATTGCTTGTCTTTCTTTGTTTCATTTATCTCCTCCTCACCTTCTTTGTTGGCATTGTCGGTCATCTGTCGGCAAAGATGTAGTGATTCTGACACTCATAATTAAGAAATTAACCTATGCATCGACTGAAGTAGCGTCCTTATCATCGATCATTGTCATCATCGGTGGCAATGTGCAAGAACAAGGTACTTGTGGGGGTATTAATTAAATTTTGGTCTGAGAATGACTACGTAAAGGTCTAACTATATTTATGTATGACCACATATAAATATTGAAATAGACTAAAGAGAGTAGATGGGACAATCTTATTTTTAAAATTTTTAAAATTAAAATCAAGTACGTAAGCTTGTCCCTTATTTAATTATATCATTTTTAAAGTTGAAATCAAAGTGTAAATCTATATTTACTTATAATTCCTTCAGGTTTTCCCCCTTTTTTCGTATGAATTGGAGCACCAATAAAGTAATTCACGATTGTCCTCATTCAACCGTTTGTTTAAAGGAATATATTAGAATCTCTGTATTGTAGAATTGTTTGTTCTTATATCATTAGCTTGAAGCCTTCTTCCAATTAAGAAAAACTATTGAAGGGACACAATTAGTAGTTCTAATGCATACCTGCACTGGAGATGAGTTTTGGGTAGAAATTTTCATATATGCGGAGGATGGCACCGTAATATCCACGTTAATCATGCTTCTTGTTGTTTAAGAGGTTTGCAAGTAGATTAGTTGATGTCAAAGAAAACAGTAAGTTCAAAAGTTCATAATTGGATGCAATGATCTGATCTCCATGAATGCGTCGACCTGATCAAAGGAAAACATGGATTAAAGTAGACATAATGTTAACTCTTCATTTTATGTTGCTTTTGCTATGATTTTATACTGAAAATTATATGATGATATGCAGGTATGTCTATGAATAGAAATTCGTAAGTAGAAAAGATAATCAAAATGATATCAATATGAAGTGCTCTAGGAACATTGGAAATTTGCGAGACATACTAACATGGAGTGAGAATCATCTCCCCCAAAAATCTTCGGATCACAATGGCATGATCCAACTTCATTTTTTCTTATTTTCAATTATTGAATTAAATGGATTTGTATATTATTAAATATTTTGTTAAATCGAGATAACATCTTTTGTGAGGAGAATATATGAAATCGTCTCATAAATTAATGAGGTGTGGTCTTGAGGATTGTTCGTAAAAATGATTTTTTTTTTATTTTTCAAAAGATTCTTACTATAAAGTATTTTTTAATATGTAAAATATTAACTTTTATATTTTAGAGGCAGTATTCTCGAATGAAGGACGACCTATGAAATAGCCTCCTAAATCGTTGAAGTGTAATTCCGTAAGATATTCAAGTGAAAGGATATCCTCCCCAATTTTAAATTAAATTAAAATATTATAAATGATTTACTTAAAATTAATTTTTATTATTTTAATTATATATATAATTTCATTCATTGCATTACATCATTTATATATGTTGCACTTATTTTTTAACCGAGCTCTGAATTTTGGATTTTATTAAACTGTAAGGTAATATACAACCATGAATTAGCTAGGTTAATTTTATACATACGGCCAAATTTAGCTAGACTTTAGTTGGCCAATTTATTACATGAAAATTAAAAATGGATGTGCCTTGTGCTAATTAAGATGTTGGGAATGACAGAAACAGTATCCAAGTATAGGAAAAGGATAAATTTAATTAAACTTTAGTTAGCCTATTTTTTACTTGAAAATTACAAATTAAAGTGCCTTGGCTTCATATGGCTAGTTGATTACAATTCGACCCATTATACTTTTTTGGTTGTACTTTCAGTTTCTAGGGTTTCGCCCTAACTAATTCGAATTGACTCATGTCACACGTTTGGTTTTGGTGGATGAGTCCCAACAAAGTTTTTTTTTTATATATACAAAGACTTGAACTTGAGACTTAAAGAATATCAAGTTGCTTACCATTTGAGCCAATCGATGTTAATATCATTATATCTTTTGATACATATGTAATTGCAAATAGGGTTACAAATTTAGGGGCGTCATCATGTTTTGGGTTTTAAATTTAATTTTCATTAAGATCTTGGATATTAAATTTTCTAATATAATTACAACCAAATAGATCAATATGTTTCCTATAGGTAGCTTATAGTTCTTTTTTTTTTAGATATTGTTAAAAGATAACAACAACATAATAATCACACAATAAAATAAATATTAAAATTTTATGTGAAAAATTCTTTCAAAAAAAAAAAACTACAAGTAGACATTGGCGGAGCCAGCATACATTGAGGGGTGTCATTTGACACCCCAAAAGTTTCTAAACTTTTATTTTGACCCATATAAATTATATATATATAAGAAAAGAAAGACTCCTTTTAAAAAAAAAAAGTTTTGACACCCTCTAAAAAAGAAATTGACCCTATATTTTAAAAAAAATATTTAATAATAAGAATTTTAAAATTCATTTTTCCCACTTAGTTTTTTTCATATAATTTTTAAATTGGGTACCCAAAATTTTTTTCTTTTAGCTCCGCCCTTGGGAGTAGAAGATGAGAATTGTCACACCCTAAATCAATGGTTAGAAGGTTTAGAAACAAATTGCAACTATTAAGTGATTCAAATTATGGTGGACTATATTAGAAGAGAACCAAGGTTTAAAGGGCTTAATTGAAAATATTGGACATAATATCGGTTCTAAAAGATGCGTTTACTTGAACCTAGGATCTCTAGAGGAAATAACATTACCTTCTATCGTTGAGTCCACTTGATAGGTTCAATAGGGATGATTTTTCTATATGATATATAGATAGGTGCTTAAAAAATAATGTCCATTTCTTTCAAATATATATAACTTCTAGTCTGCTATATAGTACACATATATGTCTGATTTTTCATTCAGCCTATTTATAGAACCAACGTTTCATAATATTCACACACCCATTAACGTGTTCTTGAAGGAGTCCCGCTTAGATTCCTTAAGTAAGCATTTTGAGAATGACAATGAAGATGAATTTGAGAGATCCTTTATAGAGATGTTATTGACTCTCTCCCTAAAGGGGACATCTGGCGTAATTCTGAACGTTTATTTCAATACCAAGGCTTTTGGTTCTTCTCGACTTTCCTAAAAGGAGCCGTTTCAGCTCAACAACAATTCCAAGCTCAACCCTCCGATATCATGCTTTGCAGTTTCCCCAAAACCGGCACCACTTGGTTGAAATCCCTCATTTTCTCCATCATCACAAGAACTTTATTCGATGATTCAACCAGCCCTTTGCTTTACAAGACGCCTAATGAGGTTGTTCCGTTCATGGAGCTTGATCATGCACATTTCTCCACTCATCGAGAACTTGGAATTCCTGTGTTAGCCACACATGTTCCTTTTTCATCCTTACCCAGATCGATAATAGATTCTGGTTGTAGAATTGTTTAAATTTGCAGGGACCCCAAGTATTCATTAGTTTCATTGTACCACTTCAATATCGACATCCAAACATCCCAAAACACTCAAGCTCAACTCCCTGCACTCGATGAAGCGTTTGAGTTGTTTTGTAAAGGTGAAAGTCTCTATGGACCTTATTGGACATGTTTTGGTGATGTAAGGTGAATCTACACACTTCAGGAAGAAGGGAATAGATAACCTTATTGTGTTTCCGATCTAGGAGAGACAGCAAATGATGCCTTTGAATCCTAAGTATTGCTGCAACAAAGGAAAGTAAAAGAAAATATTATAAATGAATTGAAATTAAAACTTAAGTAAATGAAATGGAAATGAATTAATGAAAGAGTTGGTAGTGGAAATGTTGAAAGTCAATTAAGGGGGCTAAGGGGGGCATCGAATTCGGTGGATTGCATTTAATTTCTATTGAAAATGGAAATGGGTAAATTGTATTTTAGTCCCTGCATACTTTAGGATATTTATAAGATTAGTCCTTAAGCTTTAACTATAAATACCATAACCCATTTAGCTTCAAAATCATCCCAAATCATTTATTTCTCCCAATACTAAAGAGTTTAGAGAGTTTTCTTTCTCTCTTTAGTAAAAAATCTGCAGCAGTCCGGAAATTTAGGCAAAATTGGCTGAACTCTGTTATCAATTTCGGGTATTATTTTTCCGCTTTTATTTTGCATTCTCACTAATATGGTTATAGGAAAATTACTCATTTATTTCCCAATAACTGGTATCAAGAGCTTTTGGTGGTGAATTTTTCAATTTTTCTGCAAGGTTACTATTCATATGAATAATAGTGAATTTCATGAATAATAAAATTTGGTCGGCGATACGAATTTGTCGACGGAAGTATTTTAATACACGGTGGTTTGCGGGAATTGTCAAAAACGATCCAAAAGAAGCCAAATTCGAGTGGGAGCGATGGCTTTGAGAAACGAAGTGGATGAGCTCAAGAGAGAGCTGTTCATATGCAAGGGAGAAATGAGTGAATGTGATGCGCTCAAGACCTTCTTGGAAGGACTTAGACCAGGGGTGATGCTCGGGGGAGAGCAAAGTGATGCCTAGAGACTTTTGGAGGCCATAGCTGTAGCCGGAAAGTTAACTGACAAGCCAAGTAGCGATATGTCGTCCATGCCCATGCCCAGAGATAGTGGAACAGTGGTGGAGATCGGGAAAAGGTACAACAGAGAGATGGTAGAGAAAGCTCTTCGAATGGCCAATGTGAGCCATCGACTGTTCGTAACCAAGGAAAGCCATCGGGAAAGAATGACAAGGGTAAGTCCGGTGTAAAGAAGAAGGGGAGCAAGGAAAAATTAAAGTGCTACTTCTGTGATGGTCCTCATTTGATTAGAGGATGTCCCGAAAAGAGTCGCCTTACAACCATCATGAAAAGGATGGAAGAAGGAGAAGTAGCAGGAATTGGCACGGTCGCAGGTGTTAAAGCTACCAAGCCAAGAAAAAGACTTGGCCTGATTGATGGGATCAATGCGACCAAGCAAGGATCAAGACAAGGCAAGGTTGTTGATGTTGAAGCAACCGAACCCAGAAGAAAGCTCGAGATTGCGTGTATCTAAACAATCAAGACAGAGGAAAGACTTGGTGAGGCTACATGTTCCAAAGTAGACGAATCAAGGAGCAAGAGTGGTGCGACTACAAGTTCTCAAGTAGTCAACCCAGGATCGAAACGTGACGAGATTGTGGGTGTCAAAGCAGTCGAGCACAAGAAGGGACCCGGTGCGATAGCAAGAGATAAAGTCGTCAAGCCGAGAGTGCAAAGTGAGCAAGTATGCTCACAATATGCCAGGATGGAGGCGTGGTCCAAGTTGAGGAGTCTCAGGCATAAAGGGACACTTAAGAAGTATGTGAGTCGATTCAGAAAACTCGTGCTCAAAGCCTCGGGTTTGACTGAAGAAGATGGATTCTTCACCTTCATGTTCAGATTGAAGCCATAGACGAAGAGAGTGTTGGAGTGAAGGGAAGTCAAGGAGTTGTCTAAATCCTTAACAACCGTTGAGTCCATAAAAAAATTTGGACTCAAGAAGAACAAGACTTCCAAAGCAAAGCCGAAAGCCGAGGGTAGCGGAAAAAGATTCCGTGATGAAGGCAAGTCAGAGGATGAGGAATGTTGTTCCTCAAGTGGCAGAGAAAATCCACTCAATGATGAACCAGATGTGAGTCTGGGGAAGACGTGTGCAGTCCTGGCACAAGTTCGAGTATCAAAGATGCTAAGTCGAGGGTAAGAGTCGAGCAAACGAGGGGGCGTAGACTTAAGATTCCAGAAGTGTTACAAAATTACCCGAGGGGAGCCAAGTCATCCAAGGTGATGGATGAGCCCAAGATCAAGTTATCCAGAGAAGAGAACAAACCCAGGATCGAAAAGGCGTTGAGAGTTGGCTCAATAAGGTTCATTTATGCCAAGACGAGTAGAAACCAAGTGCAAGAAGAGTTGTTCGTGTCCAAGGAGTTTACAGAGCATGTTCGTGTAGAGAACATGGCTTCAAAGATCATCTTAAGAGAAGGGTTGAAGCAAGGGCTTGCCGAGGATGTTCAAGTGAGGAACAATCCTTCAAAGACTAGTAGACAAGAGTCGAATGGAGCCAAGAGGTTGAGGGACAAGGCAACCATAGAGAAACTGCCCAATAACAAGTGGGTTTACAGGACGGTGACTACGGACAAACTTAAGTTGTGTTCAGCTTCAGTTGGCATGCTAGAGTAACGAGACCTGAAATGATGCTGCACCGATCGAGGTGTGAAGACAGATTAAAATCAGTCTTCAAGTGAGAGATTGTTGAAAGTCAATTAAGGGGGCTAAGGAAAGTCAATTAAGGGGGCTAAGAGGGTACCGAATTCGGTGTATTTAATTTCTATTGAAAATATAAATTGGCAAAATGCATTTTAGTCCCTGCACACTTTAGGGTATTTACAAGATTAGTCTTTAAACTTCAACTATAAATACCCTAACCCATTTAACTTCAAAAGAATCCCAAATCATTTATTTCTCTCAATACTAAAGAGTTTAGAGAATTTTCTTGTGAGTTGTGAGTGTTTTGAAAACACTTGTAAATTTTCTCTTTTTAATAAAAGATCTGCAACAGTCCAGAGACGTAGGCAAAATTGGCTGAACTCCGTTATCAATTTCGGGTATTATTTTTCTGCTTTTATTTCGCATTCTCAATAATCTGGTTATAGGGAAATTACTCGTTTATTCCCCAACAAGAAAGAAATATGATGATGATGATGAGGATGGTCTTCAATGGTGTTGATGAAGATGGTAGATGAAGTTGATGATGATGGACGACTATGGTGATGAAAAGTATCTCAAACTTGCCGAAGAAGAAAAAATGCTAAGTAGCAAAGTCAAGTTCTTTATAAACTTTCTTGAGGAATAGTAGAAGTGTCTTAAACTCAATAGATATTGAATCTATGAATTATAAGAATCAAAGTGAATAGAATGACACCACAAGTATAGAAATACACTTGCTTAATCAATATAGTTCTTAAAGAACTTGAAAGAGAGATTTAACTCACAATAGTTTTGATTAGAATATGAGATGATTACAAATGAAATGACAAAGCTTATTTATAGGCTAGCAAGGTTTGGTCGAATAATTAGATGTTGTTTCGACAAGGTACATGATTCATTTGAAGATACATAACTAATGGAATGAATGAACAAGTCCTTTGGCATGAAGATGGTTCGGCTAACTCTTCCAAGGAGGTATGATGATTCGGCTAAGGGTGGTTGCATCTTGTTTGGCCGAATAAACTTGTGCTCTTTCACTTTGGCGCCAAACTCCTCCTTGTGCAATGCGTGTGTGACTTGGTCGAATAGGCACCTTGGCTCCCTTATATTTCTTCGCAATTTAAGCATCTTTTGACCGAATGGACTTCATCAATGCACACCTCTCTTCAATGACATCCTTTCATGGCAGCACCTTTATGAATGGTCATAATGTTTGGATGGCACATCTTCATGAATAGGTAGGTTTCAAGGTGAGTGGGTTGATGATGAGCTGACCATTGATGCTCCTTAATGTGTTGGTTCATGTAGCAGCTCCTCATGAAAAGGTAGGACCCGAAAAGGCACCTCTTCTTGAAAAGGTACGCTTTGAGAAAAACAACTTTTCACAAATATGATGTCCTTTGGTCATAGATGATGTTGGTGCAACTCCCCAGCTGAATTGAAGTCTCCTTCCAACTCAAATTTTCAGCTCAATCCAGCTATGAGCTCACTTGGCAACAAACAACTTTTCGTATTTGATCTTCATGTTCTCCTAAATAATCCTATATAAGTTTTCCTAGCTTTTTGTCCTTTGTTAAGCTCAAATTCAGCTCGTAAATTGCTGTAGACGTTGGAACCTAAAAGGAACATAAAATTTAAGTTAAGTATATGAACTAATATAAAGTAGCAATGTATATAATATAAAGATGGACCATAGGTTATATTAATAATGAATTAAAGATTATTATAACCATAGATAAAATGTAAATATATGAATATATCCGTAACATAGTGAATTATATATGTAATGAATATAAACACAATGAATGGATAGTAAGAATTGAACAAGGTATAGAAAACTCCCTCGTCATTTTGATGAAAGGCAAGATTGCCTTGGTTGCTAGTCTGTATCATATCATTTGGGTATTGGAAAGCAAGTATGGAACATCCAGATAAGATTATGCTCTTGAAGTATGAAGAGATGATTGATGAGACTGTTTTGTATGTTAATAAATTGACGGAGTTCATCGGTTACCCTTTCTCTTGAGAGGAACATCAAAAAGGAGTAGCTGAAAAGATTGTAAAAATGTTTAGTTTTGAGAATTTTAAGCAATCTGGAAATGAATAAAAGTGAGGAAGTTGTTATAGGAGTGGTTCAAAACAAGATGTATTTTCGAAAAGGGAAGGTTGGGGATTGGAAGAATTATTTGACACCTGAAATGGCTGCACGGTTGGACCAAATAATACAGCAGAAGCTGAGCGGTTCTGGTTTAAGTTTGTATCAAGAGTGAGTTAACATGGCACTGTAATTTAATCAAACTTATTCTCAATTCTTCATTGAGAATTGAAAATAAATTGCTTATTGAAATTTAGAGGGTATCTTCACTGCGATACATTGTAAAATATTCTTAAGAACAAGTCTTCAAAGTTCCTAATCATTGATGATGGGTTAAAGTAAGAGTTCAAACCTTAGACATAATGGTAGAATGGCGGACGGGTTTCATTGACTAGACAATATTTGTTGGAAGCGCAGATGGGCTCACGATAATTTATAACACTCAGAAATTTTTATTGATACGAAACAAAATATTTTACAACGACACTCTCAATATTACAATACTGCAATACTAGCTGCGACTAGTTTACAAACACAACCTCACTCTTTTAAGGCTTTGCTAAGCTTCACAATCTATCTCTCATTTTTTTCTCACTTTCTCTCGTATATTTTCCTCACTTGTATTACATACATCCTAAACTAGGCTAGAGCACATATATATAGGATCAATTAACCGACTTATTTTTAAGCTCTGGGTGCTTCTCAATTTTTCCATTATTGCCACCATATTTGTTGCAACCTTATCCTTTTTAAGGGACCACCTTAATATGCTTAATAATTAAGAAATTCAAGAGGCTTCTAGCTTTTGTCATCTTGTCGTCATATTGTTGCACTTCTAGCCATCTTTCTTGACTTTTCAAGTTTGATTTTTAACACTCCCCCTCAAACTTGATTTTTCATTCCGAGCTTCTCTTTGAGTCGGTTGAATATATCTGCTCTCAATGGCTTTGTGAAAATGTCTGCTATTTGATCTTCAGTTCTACAGTAAATTAGCTCCACATTTGTTTTCTTCACCTGCTCTCGTATAAAGTGATATTTTGTATCAATATGCTTGCTTCGGCTATGAGAGACTGGATTCTTGGCAAGGGAAATTGTAGACTTGTTGTCGACATAGATTGTAGTTGGTTCTTCTTGCACCAAATTTAGCTCGTTCAAAATATTCCTTAACCACATTGCTTGGCAAGTGTACGCTGCTGCGGCTATGTATTCTGCTTCACATGTTGAAAGAGCTACCGTTTGTTGCTTCTTTGATGACCATGAAAATACTGCAGAGCCGATATGAAAGAGATATCCAGTTGTGCTTTTACGACCGTCTAAGTCTCCCCCATAATCACTATCAGAATAACCAACCAGCTTCGAATTTTCTGAATGCGTGTAGAATAAACCATGACCTGTTGTACCTTTGACATATCTGAGGATTCTTTTTGCTGCAATCCAATGATCTTGTTTTGGATTCTCCATGAATCTGCTTACCAATCCCACAGCATATGTTATGTCTGGTCGTGTGATAGTTAGATACCTTAGACTTCCAACTATGCTTTTGAACAATGTCGGATTCACTTGCTCTCTTGTTGAATTAACACTTAATTTGACTCCTGGTTCTGCTGGAGTGGCTACCGTCTTGCAATCTTCCATTCTGAATTTTCTTAAAATTTCTTCTGCATACTTCTTTTGTGATATAAATATTCCTTCTTGCATTTGCTCCACTTCAACTCCAAGGAAGTATGACATTTCTCCAATATCTGTCATTTCAAATTCTTTAGTCATAGCTTTCTTAAATCATTGAAATACCTGGATTATTTCCTGTGAAAATCATGTCGTCCACATATAAGCACACGATCATGATATCACCGTCTTCATTTTTCTTTGTGTATAAGGCATGCTCGTATGGACTCTTCATGAATCCATTTCTCTGGAAATATTCATCAATCCTCGTGTTCCATGCTCTCGGGGCTTGCTTCAAACCATATAGAGCTTTCTTCAATCGGTAAACTTTGTCTTCATGTCCCTTTTAATGTATCCAGGTGGTTGCTCAATATAAACTTCTTCTTCTAGGTAGCCATTTAGAAATGCTGACTTCACATCCATTTGATAAATTTTCCATCCTTTTTGTGCTGCGACTGCTGTGAGAAGTCTGATGGTCTCGATCCTTGCTACTGGAGCAAATATTCATCATAGTCTATTCCTTGTCTTTGTTTATAGCCTTTGACAACTAGCCTCGCTTTGTACTTCTCAACATTTCCTTCTTTATTGATCTTTGTCTTGTAAACCCATTTTACTCCAATTGGGTTATGGCCTTCTGGTTGTCTTGTTAGCTCCCAAGTATCATTTCTTTCTATTGATGCAATTTCTTCATCCATTGCATTCCTCCATTTGTCATCTTCAACCGCTTCTTCGTATGTTATTGGATCACTGTTCACAAGCAAGCAGAAAAGTGAAACATTATTTAGTTCATAATCGTTGTACCTTTCTGGCATTCTTCTCTCTCTTATGGATCTTCGAAGTTCTGGGAGGTGCTTCACGATCTTCTATTATGTTGCTGGCATCGCTGCTGCTGCTTGACGACGATGGTAGATTTTGTCGAGGATCTTGATCATCATCTTGTTCATCTTGATTGATAAGATCACCATCTTTATCTTCAAAAAATAGTCCTTCAACTTTCTTTTCCTCTTCGCTCCATCTCCAATAGTCTGCTTCATCGAACTCGACATCTCTTGAAATTATTATCTTCTTTGTAAGAGGATTATATAATCTGTAAGCTTTGCTTCTTTCATCATAGCCAATGAAAATACATTTTTCTCCTCTGTCATCAAGCTTCTTTATAGTCTGTTCTGGAACGTGGGCATATGCGATGCATCCAAAAATCTTGAGGTGTCCAACTCCTGGTTTCTGTCCACTCCATGCTTCATTTGGCGTCATATACTTCACGCTTTTTGTTGGACATCGGTTCAATAGGTAAACTGCACATCGAACTGCTTCAGCCCAGAAATTTCTCGGTAGTTGTTTGCCTTTTATCATGCTTCTCGCCATGTCCAGGATTGTGCGATTCTTTCTTTCTGCAACTCCATTTTGTTGTGGCGTGTATCTGGCTGTCAGCTGATGGATGATGCCATGCTCTTTGCAGAATTCTTCAAATAACTTTGATGTATATTCGCCTCCTCTATCTGATCTGAGTATCTTCAAATATTGACCGCTTTGTTTTTCCGACATTGCTTTGAATTCTCTCAATTTTTCCAGCGCTTCTGACTTTTCTTTCAAGATATAAATCCAACATTTTCTACTAAAATCATCAATGAAAGTTAGGTAGTACCTGTTACCGCCAAGCGATGGTATGTCAAAAGGACCGGCTATATCTGTGTGTACTATCTCCAGTGGTCTTCGGGCACGCCAGGATCTACCAACTTCAAAGCTTTGTCTATGTTGCTTCCCTTGATGCAAGCTCACATAATTGATTTGGAGGGTTGATCTCTGGTAGTCCTTTCACCATGCTTGTTTTTGACAACAGCTTCAATCCAGAAAATCCAAGATGTCCATATCTTAGATGCCATAGCCATGAATCATCTTTGATCGCGATCTTTATGCACATTACTTCTCCTGACTCGATATCAATTGTAAAGAGACGATTTCGAGTCATATCAGCTTGGGCTAACAATTCTCCTTCTTTATTTTTGATGGCGAGCGAGCGATTCTTCATCTGCACTTCATATCCTTTTTCCAGGAGTTGACCAAGACTGATGATATTGCTTTTCAAAGCAGGTACATAATAAACATCTGAAATATATTTCTTTCTCCATTTTCTGAGTAATCATGACTTTGCCTTTCCTTTTATTTCTGCGTGCGAGTCATCTCCGAACGTTACTCGTCCATGAACTGTTTCATCTAATTTCACAAACAGTTCCCTTTGACCACACATATGGTTACTGGCACAATTATCAAGATACCAAATATTTTTCTTGAATTCTTCATTTCCTTTATAAGTGAGGAATACGTGAGATTTTTCAATTTTTTCTTCTTCAGCTGCTGCTACGTTATTTCTTTCTTCTTGTTTAGGAGCAGATCTACACTCATAACTATAATGACCATACTTATTGCAATTATAACATTGTACCTGGAATTTACTTCCTTGTTGATATCTGCCCCTACCTCGGCCTCTGAATCCTCGTCCACGACCTGATGTTGGATTGCTTTCACTCATTTGATCGGTGCTATATGATCGACCACCACGTCCACGATTTCCTCGTCCTTGTGTGTAGCTGCTGCTAGCTTTTCCTTCGTTGACATTCATCTTGCTTTGTAGAGCTTGCTCCAAATTTTCAGAATCCTCATTTTGTTTCATTTTCTGCTCATGGGCTTGAAGTGAACCCACAAGCTCATCAATCGATATCTGAGATAAATCTTTTGATTCTTCGATTGCCACCACCACGTAATCGAATTTTCTTGTTAATGACCGCAAAATTTTTTCCATCACTCTAACATCATCGAGTGATTCACCATTTCTTTTCATTTCATTTACGACCGTTTTCACACGGCTAATATAATCATCGATGTTTTCTGTATTTTTCATTTTTAGCATCTCAAACTCAGCACGGAGAGTTTGTAAGCGTACCTTCTTTGCTTTTTCGACACCTTGTAGAGATTTTTGCAAAATCTC